ATAACTTTGCATTTTTCTAAATTACATTTCATCTGCCATTTCAGTGCTCAGTTCCCCATCTATCTATTTCCTTCTGCAGCAAATCAATATACTGTGCACAGTGTATTGTTTTACAGAGTATTGTGACATCTGCAAACACTGAAAAATGACTTTTAATGCTTATCTTAAGATTATTTATTTATGTTAAATAGAAGCGGACCCAGAACAGAATCCCGAGCGGCACCACTTACCACTTTTTTCCAGCTTAAAAATTTTACCATTTAGTACAACTCTCTGTGCTCTATTTTTAAGCCATTGTTCTACCCAAGAACAAGAATTTTCATCTAGACAAATTTCTTTTAGTTTAAACACTAACCTATTGAGGAACCGTATCAAACGCCTCGGCAAAATCCACGTAGATCACATCCACTGCAACACCCAGAGCTATACTTTTACTTACTTCTTCGTACAATACAATTATGTTGGTTTTACATAACCTATTTTAATAAAACCTTGCTGATTATTGCTAATAACACTGATCCTCCCAATGGATTCCTGAATATTATTATCCCTTAATAGCCCTTCAAATACTTTCCCAGCCACGGAAGTTAACTCACAAGTCTAATTTTCAGGCAAATATTTTGAACACCTTTATGAATACAGAAACCACATCTGCCTTCCTCCAATCCTCCAGTACAATTCCTAAAAGAAAAGAATCTTGAACAATTAAATACAGAGGTTCACTTATTTCCACACTTTGCATCTTAAATACCCATGGGTGAATACTGTTAAGCCCCAGAGCTTTGTTTATATGAACTTTTTTTAGCTGATGTAGCACCTTGTCTTGAGTCATCCAATCACAATTTTTCTGCAAGTTTTTGCAGCAATCATATGCATATCTCTTATTATAGATTCTGTTTTAAACTATATTGAGGAAAAATAGTTATTTAATATGTCTGCCTTTTCCTGGTCAGACAGGACCTTCCATATTGTGGAAAGGCAGGTGTTTGGTCAGTAGGTAGAGGATGCTCTTCCCTTGTCAAGGGGTCTTTCATGTCCAATATTGTTCTGCCTACTGTTAGCCATTCAAGGTAGGAGCATTTTGCTAGTAGCTGGGTCATTTCTTCTTCTAGGTGTACATGCAGACTTGTTAGTTTCTTTATCCAGTAGATGTGGATCATGTTAGGCCCTAGAGCTGGCCAACTCTTCATGTGGGCTACTCGTTCTTGGATATATCTTACTGTGCTGGTGACTGGTTCCTGTTCCAGGAGCATGCAATAGCCTGCTTTCAGGTTTAGTAGCCACATGGCCTCGGTGTTATAGATGCTTCTTTCTCTTAAATGTTCTTTCAGGACGTTTCAGCTCTGGGCTCTGGGATAGTGCTTATTTCCTCTGAATCTCATGTGTATTTACTTTACTCAGTGTGGTATGTGTGTTCTACTCTCCCAAACTGGAGGATTTTCTGCTTCAATTCCATGACGTTTGGGAGAAATCAGTCCAAGACAAATGGGGTCTGAATATAATCCTAAGAGGATACTTCTTCAAATTCGACAGCAGTCCACCAGGAAAAAGCTTTCAAGTCACAAAATGGCCAGGAGACAAACAAAAAACAGAAACCTTAAAGGAGTTCATAACATCTCTTCAAACAGAAGTAGTCATCATAAAGGTTCCATATAGGGAAAGATATCTTGGATTTTATTACCATTTGTTTCTGACCAAGAAAGCATCAGGGGGTTGCAGATCAATTCTGGATCTACAGAGACTGAATGGTTTTCTGAGGTTGAGATAGTTCAAGATGGAATATCTCCAATCTATTCTGAAAGTAGTCTTCCCTGGTCAGTGGATGGTATCCATTATTTCATAAAAAAAATTATAAAAGATGCTTATTTTCATGTGCCCGTGGCGAAGCAAAACCAGCAGTTTATTAGATTCTCTGTAGAAAAAGGGCATTATCAATTTCAAGCCCTTCCCTTCAGATTAAGCACTGCCCCATACAATTACAAAAGTATTAGTTGTACACATTGCAGAATTGAGAAAAAGAGGCACCACAGTTTCCCACTATCTGGACAACATATTGATCTTGACAGACAACAAACAATCCCCGATTTCTCATGGCCATTTTTGTATAAAGACACTTTCAGAGACTCTTTGTTATACCATATGGAGTCAGAAAAGGTCTCCAGGCATCCGAGAATACAATAAGCAGATGAATCGTTTCTGCCATCATTCGAGTTTATCAAGTCACTAAAGTACCTGTCCCTGAGGGTCCCAAAGCCCATTCTACAAGAGCACTTTCTTCCTCCTGAGCAGGAGCAGCAAAAGTGCCTCATGAGATGATCTGTAAAGTAGCTACACGGTGTTCTATTAATACCTTTATTAGACATTATCAATTGGACATTAGAGTTGCCCAGTCTGATAAATTTGGAAGCAGTGTTCTTCCAGTTTAATTAATTGGTATTGTATATTCATGTGTGGTTTTTAATACACTTTGGTTTTGCATTTAATTGTGTCAGATGTGTTTCTTTCCCTCCCTTGGTCTATGCTTGGGTATAATCCATTTTTATGCTGCCATGGATGGCCTTTTGTGATCAGCCTAAGGCACACCTGTGCAATAATCATGCTGTCTAATCAGCATCTTGATATGCCACACCTGTGAGGTGGATGGATTATCTCGGCAAAGAAGAAGTGCTCACTAACACAGATTTAGACAGATTTGTGAACAATATTTGAGAGAAATAGGCCTTTTGTGTTTGTGGTACCATCCAAGTACTCGCAGCTGTTCTGTACATCTCCTATTTGGCCTCACGGTACTAGAACTCCTTCTTTCATGATAACCTTCCCTCTTTTTGCTATCATCAGCCCACACTTATCTAGTCCAAACGACATGCTGTATGCCTAATTAAGTGGCTTAGTGAGTCAATTTCAAGCTCAGTCTTGGCGTACAGCTTAATGTCATCCATGTAGAGTAGGTGGCTTATGGTAGCTCCAATTTTGAACCTGTATCTGTATCCACAATTCATGATGATCTGACTAAAGTGGTCGAGGTCTATTTAGAACAGCATTGGGGAAAGCACATTGCCTTGATATACGCCACATTTGATGTTCACTTTTGTTATTGTCCTGGAATTGACTACTAGACTTGTTTTCCATTCGGGTCCATTTAAGATCCTTGAAAAAAAAAACCTGAATGGGTTGAAACTTGATTGATTTTTTTTGCACAGCTATTATGGATATTTGATTTACATTAAAACACCAGTGTTCTATTTGTAAGACCTTAGAACGCAGCCTATTTTTTTCATTTTTTGTATATATTTACTGTGGTTTTTCTACCCAGGCATTCAATATGTATTTTGTTCCTTGTTGGTGGAGTATCAAGTGAACTTCAAGTATATATATATATATATATATATATATACACTGAACAAAATTAAAACGCATCAAATTGGTTTTTGCCCCTATTTTTCATGAGTTGAACTCAAAAATCTAAGACTTTTTCTATGTACACAAAAGGCCTATTTCTCTCAAATATTGTTCACAAATCTGTCTAAATCTGTGTTAGTGAGCACTTCCAGATATGGCAATTGAATGGACCCGAGCTGGATCTTGTGTGTTTTAATATGTATCCAAAAGACGAGAGCACTTAAGGGATTTGTGAATCAAGTATAACTCAACCCTGAAGAAAATGTAAGGAGGATAGCAACATCTAAGTACCTCCAGATCATCAGAAAGATCCTGAATTCATAGTTTAATAGCAAGAACAAGATCAAAGCTACCAACATATATTCCCTACCATTCATCAGGTACCCAGCTGTAATTATTACTGGGCCAAGAGAAAAGTTAGTCACCGTGGATGTCAAGACCCAGAAACTTCTTGCTGTGAATGTACACCAGAGTCAAGGCCACAGTCCTGGATGAAACACAGAGCATCCACAAATACATCACAAAGATGAACTGCTAAGGGATTGTCTGAGACAATAATAGATATAGGATATCAAGACAAACCTCTCTTTAGGGTGTATCATCGTCAGATGAATGTAGCTCTCATTAAGAAACCTACCAGTGGTTTGAAAATGCAGGACTGAAAGATACTGAAAGATACTAAATAAGGCACTAATCCTAGCAGCACATAAAACAGGCACTCAGCACCAGATCAATAGAAGTGGGAGTCTATAACATCAGACAGGACCCAAGGTGCAGTCTGTTTAAAGAGGCCTATGAGACAAGACATAACATAGTAGCTAAGTGCAAGATGTACTTGCAAGATGGGATTACTGGGATTGTGTACCACAATATCTACACAAAATGTGGGAGAATTTACAAAGATTAGTTGAAAATGAAAGGGATAACATCCTGTGGGACTTTCAGATCCAGACAAGTAAATAGTGGTTAACAGACTTGACATCATGGTGGTAGACAAGGAACAGAAAACTACTGTGGTGGTGGATGTGGCAATACCCAGTGATGATAACATCTGCAAGACGGAACATGAGAGCTGGATCTTGTGTGTTTTAATATGTATCCAAAAGACGAGAGCACTTAAGGGATTTCTGAATCAAGTATAACTCAAAAAATACTAATATTGTATAATGTCCTTTTTATTATTATTATGTTGCCTTTTCCCTTGTTTGTTTTTTTTTGTTTATATTTGCCAAACATTTATATTGATTTTCAATGTTTTTTGTAACTGCAAATAGACTCAATAAAATAATTTAAAACCAAAGTATAGTATAAATGATTAAGTATCAGGTAGAAATGTCTCCATATTTTGCTTTATAGTTTTTCTATGTAAATTTCAATATTTGCAACATACTATTAGTTGATAGAGATGTCGCGAACCGTCCGCGAACTTCTCGCGAACGGTTCGCTGCGGTTCGCCACGAGCTGTTCGTGGCAAACTCCGGTCAGCTGACACGTCCCGGCCAATCTCCAGCAGACCCTCCCTCCCAGACCCTCCTACTTCCTGGACAGCATGTCCGAGCTGTTCACGGCGAACTCCGGTCAGCTGACACGTCCCGGCCAATCTCCAGCAGACCCTCCCTCCCAGACCCTCCTACTTCCTGGACAGCATGGATGCTGTCCAGGAAGTAGGAGGGTCTGGGAGGGAGGGTCTGCTGGAGATTGGCCAGATGCTGTCCAGGAAGTAGGAGGGTCTGGGTCTGGGTGGCGAACCGTTCGCGAGAAGTTCGCGGACGGTTCGCGACATCTCTATTAGTTGATACTCTAGATCGGATTGGAACTAAATTATAGTATGGTTTATAGAACTTGGTCAAACATTTTATTATCCCCAAAAGGTCATCTTATTATTTGCCATTCTGTTCTCCTCACCAAATTAGTTACACAATTTTCTGTAAATTCTTATTTTATTTCCTCGTGTATAACATTTTCCATACATTGATTCACATATATTTTATCACTTTTTAAAGTCACTTTTGCCACCATAACAGTTTTGCTTCTTTACAAATCTTATGGCACAGACACTACCTTGCATCAATCATTTCTGTTGAGAGTGGCTTTAAGCTATAGCGAAATGAAAAAAATTACATTTAAGCTAATAAATAAATTTAAAAAAACCTGATGCTGATATTCAGCTACAATTGACTAAATAAGCCCTAAAAATCGACTGCACAACAGCTCCAGAAACAGTGATCTTCCAAAGTGGCAACAAGCGACAGAAGATCCGACCGCAAGCGGCAATCTCTTACCGGAGATCAACCCAAGGCCTACAGAGGACCCGACCGGGCGAAACGAGGGAGGCGGCCGATCCCTTTGCTAAAGGTCTGCATGGAATACCTTATATCCCTCCCCTCCCCCCCTCCGCCGGTGGGGGACATCCCGGCAATTATAAGCGAGAATCCAGCTACAACACAAGCGGCAAAGTCAGCAACCAGGCGAAGCTTACAAGGCCCGACCAAGATGGCGGCGCAGCCTAAGACCAAGCACCTACGCATTGCACCGCCCAAGCACACATGGGTCTTCATAGACTTGCTGGGTACCTATCTCTGGGCAAAGCTTAAAGCCCGAAGGCAACCCTACCGGATGGCAATGAGAGAGGTGATGGCGTGGATCCGCTCGTCCACCCGACGTACCTTGCAATGGCATCCTCCTCACAAATCCAGAGCAACCTCCAAACTGAAGCAGAGCCGGAGCTCAAACAGGCGGGAAATTGAGTTGGGCCCCCCGAACGCTGAAACCTACGACCCCGCAACACAGGACAAGCCCAGACCTACCCCTCACTCAGTGGTCCCAGAAACGAGGGACCAGCAAAGTACTAACCTGCACACTGCCACCCACAGAGTCCGCTGCGACGCTAACCGAGATGCAGCAAAGCAAGACCGCGGGGGACGGAAAGTACAGAGAGCTAATCCACGACCCACCGGGGAGAGAACCCGGAAGAGAGTGGGGAGGGAAGATGAGCTCGGTACCAAGCTGCCTTATCGATTTTGGACTATGTGTGGCATCGGCTGACAGAAACGGGCAGAGTCCTTGACAGTATCTTCCGGTAACACGGGAGCAGTTGAGACTGTTTATAGGATCTTATACGCCATCCTTTCCTGGTGGTTACTTATTTTCTATCACTGTTGATTTTGCATGCTGACTTTGCACGTTTATAGTATCTCACTTGCTTATGGAGACTAACTGAACTTCCTATAGTCTGAGGTTGCTCATGATGCAAGTAGTTAGTCCCGTGAAGTAACTAAATAAACCTGTATATATTGCTTGCCCAGCAAACTACAATATGCCGCTGGTTTAATGCTATGTTTGTAGATAAATCGATAATATTTTCAGCCAGTTCGGCAATGTTTAAATGTCTCTAATCGTTACTATATATGTTGGAACCATAGCATATTTATCGTAATAAGCTGAATGACCCTACCGTGACCCACACACACTAGACAAGCAAAGCTAGCCTATACTCAGTACGTTTAAGATATGTTACTAGTCTGTTTTGTCTTTTTTGTTTATTTATTTTTTTAATGTGCGGTTAATCTGTGCCATGACTAAATGTATGCCATTGAAACGCCTGTCGTGGCGCTACAGGCCTCTCTGTTATATGATCAAAGACACAAGAAGGATAAAGAATTAAAAAAGGGAAGGAAAAAAGAGGAAACGTTAACCGGCATAGTTTTGAACACTCTTCAACCACAAGCATCACAGACAGCCTGTACATTATGCTCATGCCTAAATATAATGATGCTACTTGTTTACTGCCTGTCTGTTTGGCCCTGCTTGGCCCTATAACACATACAGTGAATATGCCCCACAGCAAGTAGAGTTGACCGAACATGCTTAAATAAGATTGGTCACGCATAGAAAAGCTCACTTCAACTAATGTGTATGTTTAGCCTGTAATAGCTTAATTTAAACTAGCCTAAGAGTTCCCTATCTCTAAGACATACCATCCATTGTATTACTCCTGCATAGCAAACTGATAGGTCTTACTTCCAACTCGCTTCTAGCTAACTAGTAACTCCTAAAGGTGACTAAATTTATCATAAGCACGTATAACCAAGCATGGTCAATGAGAGATACTGATGTTACATAGCTTGTTATTTTCATGTTATCTAAAAAAAAAAAAAAAAATTGTGCTGTTTAAACTGCCATATGTTGAAATATGATGAAAACGCTTGCAGCAGCTGTCGTGGCGTTGCACGCTTGTTGTTATCACATGCACAAATAAAAATAAAGAATTATAAAAAATAAAAAAAAACCTGATGCTAACACAGCAAAGGAGTTTTTTCCCCTTACTTCATTACTACACTATGTGCATGTGTGTGAAATAGGAATGATATATGTTAATCAATAAGCCAGGAATTCCAAATATTTATCTTGCACTATGTATATTGTCTGATAACTGAATAATTTGTAGTCACATTCGTATCTTGAATATTACTCTTTGTCTTAAAATATGTAAACAAGACTAAACTTGTATACATTTAAAAAAAAGTGTCCAACCACCACACCTCCCCTAGGTGTAATGCAATCCACGTTTCTAAAGAAAAAAAAAAAGTTGATAAATACTTGCTAAGTTCTAAACAAGTAAAGAAAATACAGCCAATATCAGTTATCTATTAGTGTTTTAATAACTGGCAATGAGCTTTAAACAATGTTGAGGAAGTGCCAGTGGATGGGCCAAGGCTGTCCAAAATCTGGCTGTTTTTCAGTGAGGACTACCTACTGGGCTGGACAAGGGAAGGGAATAACATACTTGGGAGTGTGGTGAGTAACTGGCTGCCTATTTAATCCACCTAGTTGTCTGTGTCTCTACATTTACACTTGGCATTCTAATGTTGTATATTACTGGATTTTTTATGATTTGGGTCTGTTTATCAAATGTGAAACTTAGCTGACTGGATTTTAACATTTGTTCTGCCTGACATTGTCTCCTAGATTACGCTTATCTGATTTGTTGCCTCAGAGTTCATCCTGTCCCCTATTATCCCTCTCAGGTAATATATGCACTTGGACTTCTACTACTGCAAACCTAACAATATCTTTAAAAAAACACACACTGCATTATTCATATGGAACACAAAAGGATAATGACACGCCTGTCACCTTTTAGGATTATCACTGTTTTTGTCTGTCAAGCCTGTCACCGTTTAGTCTGTGATGTAATTGAAAACCCTTCAAAGGACACAGTGTTCTTGTCATCAACCTTGCAATATCAACCATCCACACTGAATTAAATTAAAGATGATGTTTTAAGCTTCATTACCAGCAAGAATAAGGTTTATGTAATTTGAATTGTGACTGTTTTCATAATTGAAATATGATTATCCTTATATGGAAGTTTTTCTGGCTAAATATAAAACACATTGCATATTTACAAGTTAAATTCCCAAAATATTTTGTCCAGACATTGATCAATGTTGAGTTACATTTTAATATGGATATATCATTATATATTTGTTTGTTGTATTATTTTGTTTACTGAATTACAGCAGCAGTGTTTCACTTGTCCTGATTTGTATTCCTTTTTTTTAAGTAACGAAAAAAAAAATAAAAAAAAAATATTATGCATAGTGGAACTTCTGTTTAAAGATCTGAGTTCATTTAAAGAGTATATTTCCTGAAAACAAAAAATGTAATGCATGTGTGATCTTGGATAACTCTATCCATCAGTTTACACTAACGAATAATACATTAATAATAAATGTGTTCCACAATGCAAGTGTAGCTTAAGAAACAGAATGATCCAAATGCCAAATTTTTTAATACCAACGTGACTGCATAAATGTTTATGAAGTGATGACTTTAATACGTGATACTGTTAGGATAAAATGTCAGAGTTAAAAGCAAAATATCATTATTCTCATGATTTATACAAATAATGTCATGGCTGTAAGGCCATAATGCCAGTTAATAGTTTACATAATGGTTTCCAATTGAAGGATACATTAGATACTGTTGTGACAACGCAGGAACTATAACCCTAAACATCTAAGTGGGATTGCTCGTTATTATTGTATGATATGCTAACCTGAACAATGCGTGTTTTTAATTTAACATGTGGAATGAGGAATTAACCACAAACATAAACTCGAGACAGTGATTCGGTGATCTCACTTATGTTTGTGTTTTTGGGAACGTAATTACATATGCATATTTATAAAGAAAACATAGGAAAACACCAGATGGTTGTTAAACGCATGTCATGTTATGGCAGATTGTTTGATATCAGAACAGGGAAACACATTCCTTTTTGCTTATTTATGTGTCACTGGGGACAAAAATGTACATGAATGCTGCTGTAGATGGAAATATTATAAATTAAATTATATATTTATTTATGCCTGTGTATACATACAGGGTGGACCAAAATTCTGAGTAGGGTTTGGGGAGTCAATATTTTTTTTTTTTTATTAATGAGCAAATTTAAATGATATTACATACAATGAATGCTTAACATATGGAGATTTGTTTGACTAGGTATGGAAGATGACATCTTTTAAATCAGCTCCATTTGCTGCTTCACAAAATTGGGCTTTTTCGATTGCATTGTTCATAACATTAGTTAAAGTTTAATGCTCTAGTGCTCAAATTTCTGCACAAATATGCTCCTCGAGCTGCTCAAGTGTACGAGGTTTGTTCACATACACCCGTCCTTCAGATATCC